AAAGGAGACAGACACAAAGGTAGAGTGAAAAAGGTGAGGTTAGTACGGCTGAAGTGGTTGAATCTGACATACAGTGGGGTGATGGTAGTTTGGAGTCTGAAGTCGAAGAGAAAAGGTGAGGTTAGTACGGCTGAAGTGGTTGAATCTGACATACAGTGGGGTGATGGTAGTTTGGAGTCTGAAGTCAATTGCCGGTTAATAGACTATTTTGCCGTATGAGTAAACACGAAAGCCGAGTGATAGACTTTTTTGCCGTAAGAAAATACGCTGCCCAGGGTGCACCACGTGGAGGTAAGTCTATCGCACACAAACTTCCGGTTAATAGACTTTTTACCGTATGAGTATACGTTTCCCAGGGTGCACCACGTGGAGGTAAGTCTATCGCACACCCACCAAGGTGCACCACGTGGAGGTAAGTCTATCGCACACCCCTGCCCACATTGTACTTTCTCTGTAATATCTATCATTGAATTCCATTGCTAACTTCAGTTTTATCATAGGATAGCATCAAATAAAATGGAATATTAAAATAATTCAATAAAGAGTAGAGGGCATTCAATCGAGTAGATTTAAAAAGCAAAGTTAAGGCGATAAGAATCGTTTTTAACGATTAATGTCCAGTCCTCCAAATTCCAAAGTACAAATTCGAGGATCCCACTTCAAGATTCTCAGGCGGTTTTATGCTCTCAACTTTAAGAGCTTGTCAAACAGTCAATGAGATTGAGCAGTTGACTGTACTATGATTCTACAATTATGCAGAACTTATTTATAAAACTTACAAATTTTACTTATTTCAAACTGGCTTCTTTAATAGGACCTTTTATTAGAACAAGGGGGTACAAAATGGTGATTAATTAAAAGCCTGATTTTAAAAGAATTAATATTTCAATCCTTTATGATCTTGGCTGGAAATATTTTAATCTTGTTATTCATTTCATTCTTCCACTATTCATGGTTGCTACTTCAAAAATTAACATTACGCTTACTACTAACTGGCGCGTTTCTTAAGGCAAAATTGTGAATGAGCATCGAATAGGTCTGAATCATTCGTGAAACAGGAAACAGTAATAATAATTTCCGTTCCTCCAATGCTCTCACGAAACCAAATTGTCTGGCGCAGGGTTCGGGTTTTGACAAATGGTGTATTTCAAGTCACGACCTTTAACTGGTTTGGCTGGCGCTAATCTGTCTTGGAAAAGACCTAACCCCCCCCCCCCAGAATTTTACCCACAGAGAGTAGCCCTTCTTCAACTTCAAAGAGATCTTTCATAGCTGCAGCAGCAGCAGCCTTGGCAACAATTCCTAGTGCCGATGAAGAGTTTACGTAGAGAGTGAGCCCCAACTTCTTTTGATCAACATTTACTGGTTTGGAGGTTTTGTGTGTATCGAAGCCTTGGACATTGACTTTAAAATTTTGCTCACTGACAACTGATAGAGTTATATCCCGTTACATTTATTAATCGTGATAAATTCTAAAACTCGCCCTTAGCGTGCTAAAATGCGTGAGCCCACAAAATGCAGAGCCGAAAGGAAGATAAAATTGGGTACTTAGCTTAACAAGGGGATTATTCGTTCCCCTTTGCCACATTTTTACAAAACGAATATCAATCAGTGGTATTTAACTGAATTCATTAAGGCACTTTCTATTTTTCTGATAAGTCATCTCCAACAGCCAGTCTACATGACCTTCGCTGTCACAAAATTCCCGAGTGAGTCAGTCACTTATGGTTATTCTAGCATTGCATATCCTCCATTTCTCCTTTTAACCAGCCAATACGCATCAAACATATTTCACTGCAATTTTCACCAATTAATTCCAATGACATGTGAGCATAATGTCGTCGATAGCTAAACTTCACGAGACATTTAATGCTATTTATCAGTACAGAAGTTAAAATGAATATGACTCACGCAGCAACAGACAGGTTTGGCAGCAATTAGAGCAAAAGCTGCAACCTTGTCTTGATCTTTAAAAGCCATTCATATGTAATCGACTTGTTTTCATGTAAAGGTGATTTTCGTAAATTAGTAACATGGTTAGCATTACCCCTGCTTTCTTCCAATTTGGATCGGAGTTAAGTGTAACCAAGCCATGTCCTGTGGACGCCTGAATCATAGAGGCTGAAGGTAGACTTCCAGGTATTATCAAAGGGTCGAAATAATTGTACTTTACAAAATGAATAAAAGTGTTGGATACTGTTGGGCCTAAAGCCAAGAGGTCAGTTCACATTGTCACTTCTAAATTATATCGATCGGAATTTAGGCTGCAGATGCAGACGACCTCTCATTATTGCATTGTTTGTTCGTCGCAATGTACTTGAATTAACCAATTATAATGAAGAAATTCGCCTGTATTAAGAGAGAAATTAAGGTTCCTAGATTTCTTAATTAGACGCACCTACTTATTGAAATGATACGCCGATAATTTATGACAGCCCAGCCTAGCCGACCGATTAATCACTACCACAAAAGCTCTCATAGTCCGACAACCTTCAATTAACCGGAATATCAATAATAATTATGTTTATGTCGTCTTCTTTCCCACACATACACTTGTCTATGTCCGTGTCTAGGCCGGCGCGGTTCATAAGACGGGGCCGACAAAGCAATTAAACATGATTAGCATAGGCATGATTGATTGATTACTCCAGCGGTCCAACACGAGATCAAAGGACATTCGACACCTTGACAAATGCGCACTTATTAGATTCGCGCTCTTAATCTAATCACCTGCTAATTGATATATCTGATGATCAATGTTGCAAGCAATTTCAAAAGATCTATCCAGTACGTCCGAGGACTCAAAGTGAAGTGAACAGAATTTTGCTCCAGTGTACCAATCTATTCATCCTTACTAAGGTGTTTATTTACTTAAATCCTGTAGTAACACATTTTACAGTGTAATGTTAGAATTTTTCAAATGTGCTACGCTTTTCTTTACAAAAACTCAGACCCTTTTCATTCAGTTACTTGACAGCAACGAGAGCGAATGTTGACTGGAATCAATGTTAGTCAATAAAATTCACCCCACTGATAAAAATGAGATTTTGGTCACTGCCCAAAGATCCTTCAATGCTGTGAAAAATATTCAACATGAATCGAAGGACCACACAGGAGACCACAAAGCTGGTGTGGTTAGAAGAAAGTAATATAATAGACGATCTGATCTAATATTAATGCATTTGAACAGGAGATTTTATCGAAAAGCTCCAACGGTGCCCTGATATTGAAAGTCGGGTTTTTCGACGCACTTAGCTTGATGTTGAAAACTCAACTACGAATTTTGCGCACGGTAAAGACCTTTCCTACCACCCTTCTATTGCAAGCATTGTAGTGGTCAACTTCTCTCACAGAAGGCCCTTGAAAGTATTCGTTTAACGAAGGCGGAGAAACTTCATAGCAGAGTGAAACATCCTGCTGAAACAACCTGTCGGGTTCTTTTCCAATACGAATAGCGCTTACCGAGATTGAATGCACGAGACTAAGAATAGCAGATGGGTTGACCTGTATACAGGCTAAAATGCACTCCTCAATGAACTATCGCGTTTTCCGATGTGTCATCCTACTCCTTGGATGATGTGATGCGATTCCTTCCTCCAGTGTTTTAAAGAAAGGCTTAAGTCGAATTCAAATGCATACGTGGAATTGCTGATCACTGTAGTACCCGAGCCCTGGATTACAAATGAAAGTAGCCAATTGCAGGCAAAATTTATAGTGCAGGAGTATCTGATCTCCTGAATGATTGTGAGTTCCTCTGAACTCCCAGATCTTAACCTGAATTAATTTTTAGGTATACGGTGGTCGGTGGGGGAGGGGGGGGGAGACACTAATTTACTAACCAGTACTTCAAAACCAGCCAGTCAGCGGAGGGAATGGAAGCAGTTCATAAGACCCTACCCAGGGAAAGCGTAAAATCAGCTCAATCTAGATTCCGGGACAGTCGAAGGCTGTAATAGACAACAATAGCGGTTATTCTGAAGATAATTCTATCAAATTAGAAATTCTGGACTGTTTTCCAACAATAAGTTTCCTATTTGAGTGCACAGCACATAGTGATAAAACTAAAAATTCTCAAATAGCTTTGGAATATTGAGGAAAACCAGAAGTAGTTGGTAGCTATTGACTTCACTTGAAAAAGTATATTGAAATTTGAAATGCTCATGGAAACCCAGTCATCCATTGAGGAAGACATTCAAGGTAATTGGAAAGAAACTTCCCAAGTGGATTTCCAAACAAGTTATCAACACACTCCAAAGTTCTGTAATCACTGAGTGGAATGCAATGAACACATAATTAAGTATTGAAGCAAAGTAAAGGTCGAAAGTCCTATAATGTAATGCCGAACCGTTTGGCAAATTGTTGACGAATATTTTTGTCCTTATAATATAGGACAGCTTTACAATCACCTTAAATACTTTTGGTGAATGTATTTGGGCTATTTTCTTGTATGCCCATCACAACCCACTTTTTTAGGGCAATACGAAATTTACGAATTTTCAATTCCTTTTGAGGTAATTCTTTGGCAAGGATTTCGATAGCTTTAAATAATGTTCAAATAGTACTTTAATTCATATCTTTGCAATCTTCAGTCCTCTTCTTATTTCACAGGCTCAATTCAATTATCGATTTCTACCGCACAGCCGTTGGTTTTTCTCAAGGGAACTAGAGTAAACAAATCGATCAATGATCATTAGTCTGCTCGAAAAATTACTTCGCCGTTAAAATACTCATTAGACCTATGATAAATAGTAATAGGTCTCATCGCTACTTCTTGTCTAGTCAAAACACAGGACACAAGATCAGAGAATACGGCGCACACAGAATAATTAATCATACGGGGGGTGGG